AGGAATTGCCCCCTCCTGCATGGGGTTGTGCAGAGGGCTGTGTGCCTTCCTTCTCCCAAACGCTACCAGAGGTGGCAGAACAGGGGACATGGGGACAGCATGGGGACAGCATGGGGACAGCAAGGCCACAGAGGCGGCTGTGCTGAGCAGAGCAGAGCCGTTACCTTTTCGTTGGCTCTTTTCCAGAAGCAGCCCAGGATGAAGACCACGGCCACAGGGGGCTGCAGGTAGGAGCTGATGGACTGGATGTAAATGAAGAGCTGTCCCCCCTGGCCGGCCTGCACCAGCGGGATCCACAGGATGGAGACCACCGTGAGCAGCAGCACAAAGACCCTGTGCAAGGAAAGGATGCTGTTACTGGTAGTGCAGACCGTTCTTTTCCCACGCTCAGCTGGCAAGATCCCTGCTCAGATCCCTTGTACCCACAAGGTCCCCCCTTGGTCCTCCACCAGACCCACGTGATGTGAAGGTGCGACGTGCGCGGGGCAGCGGGCTGCGGGGTGTGGGAGGTGTGTCTGTGATGCTGGGATACAGGCACGTGTCCTAGTGCTCCATACCTGCCAACGATCATGAGTTCCCACTCGGAGCAGCGAGGACGGAAGTGTTTCCAGAGGTCCATGGTGAAGATGGTGCTGGCACTATTAAAGATGGAAGTCAGGGAGGACATGAGAGCTGCTATCATCACTGACATCATCAGGCCCCTGAGTCCTGGAGACAGAAGGAGAAGTACAGCCGCCCTGAGGAATCCCCAATAACCCCACTGCAGGATGCCCTCCAGTTCTTCTTTGAACTAGAACAAACTTTTTAAAATGTTTTTAGCCCCTGTTCCAAATGGCCGGTGGCAGGGAGGCATTAATGGTTGATTCTCAATGTTAAACATCCGCTCTTCATCTCTTCTCCAAACCTGACTGCATCAGACCTCTGGGTGCTGGATACCCATCTCTCCTGTTGCATACTGTCCCTTGCCACTGTCTCACCAGCCCAACACGAACACCACTGGGATTACAGCTGCAGGTGTTTTCCTCCCTGAACATTCCTCCCCAACACCTTTTGGCTGACGCACACCCATGGGTGCCAGCACCGTCCCCAGGCGCCTTACCGACAGGCAGCAGTTCCAGGACCAGCTTGGGATAAGCAATATCGGAACAGCCGGACGGGTTGCCACAGATTTTTCGGCAGATTTCGGGATCTGCACAAGCCACCAGATCTAAAATAAGCAAGGAGGGGTGAGGGGCAGTATGGCATAGCCACAGTGAGCCGATGCGTCTCCAGCACAGGGAGCAGCGCCTTTGGAACCTGGGTCTGCGCCCCACTGCAGGAGGGTGTGCGTTCTGCTTGTAACTGGAAGAAAGTTTCTTCCTACTTGGGGCATTTGGTGCATTGCAGCCATTTAATTTATTCCGCCAGGGCTGCTCCAGCTCCGCGGGGCGGGCAGAACAAGCAGTGACCGAGGGAACAGATGGCTCCGGCAGCGCTTACCTGGGAAGAGGATGCGGCTGATCATGCCCGGCATCACCATCATAAAGAGGGGCAAGATTTTCAAGTAGGAGGTCATCAGGGAGCCTCCTTTGGCGTGAGAGAGGCTTTTAGCAGCAAGGGACCTCTGCACGATGACCTGGAAATGAAGACGTGGGTTGGGTGGGTGAGAGCAGAGAGGAGCCGGCCGTGGGTGATGTGGGGCCGTTGCGTTCGCGTGGGTCCTGTGTTCGCCTCTAAACTGGTGAAATCTTGGAAGGGTGAACGCAGAGCTGGGCTGTAGCTTTGTAATTCTTGCTTCAGATCCTGAGTATCTGAAGTATTAGTCCTTAAGCTAATCGTATGCAGGCTTGGAATTTTATTTTCTTCTTCTTTTGCTGGGGACTTCCCTGACCCGATGGCTACACCTGGCCAGTTCAGTGGTCCTGTCAAAGCAGGACAGAGTCTGAACCCAGCAAAATGAGTCCAATAAAAGTACCACAGGAACCGCAGGAGGTGCTCAGGGCTCCGGTCCTGCTGCCTCTGATGTCCCCAAGAGGGCCCTGGGCAGCTGGAGGAGTGAGTTCACAGGGGGGTCACAAGAAGTGAAAGGCTTAAATTAGGGAAAAAAAACGTCTTTGTAGGCTGGGACTAACTCAAACACACATTCTCACTCCTTTTTATGCTGAAACGATCCCCAGACTTTGCTGGGCATATCAAGTGTTGCAGCTTTGGGATCGAAAGCATCAGATTTTACCGAATTCCATCAGAAACAGCAAACCAGTCTGGGCTGTGTCGCAAAGCCTGGGTTTGCAATCAAATGGCCAGTAATGTGGTTTTGAAACCCAACAAAGAAATGAGCAGTGACGCACCTGGTCTGTGCACCAGTACCACAGGGACGGGATGGTCATTCCCACCAGAACGCCTGGCCAGGGAAGGTCGGAGTGAACTGGGTCCCGGAAAATGTGGAAAGCGTCTTCTCTGGGTAAGCCGCAGCTGCTGTTCTCCTTGCGGATGCTGGGAATGGCGTCAAAGTATTTTGTCTGCAAACCTTCGAGACCGCCGACTTTGACAAAGCCTAGAACAGGAGGTGAGAAGCGGTTACCGCATCCTCCCCGGCCCGTACGGCCGTTTGCTGTCCCTGTGGTTTGCTGTGGGTGATCCTCCACAAATATTCCTTAAAATCAGAAGCTACCGACTCCATCGTCGGACTGGGGGATACGTAATGCTAAAGCTGGTAGCAGAAGGTTTGTTCATCTGTGATGCTGCTTCAGAACATATTTCTTTGGAGATTTTTCAGGGAGTACTTGGGCATTTTTACCCCATGAAGAGCTGCTCTGAGGTTATTTGTATCAGGATATACTCCAACGGGAAAAACAGAAAGCAGTTCCCCGAACATCAGCTGAGCAGCCAGCTGTGACGACCCAGCTTGGCTGCAGCACTTGGTAAAGCTGCTGTCCCAGTGTTAGTGACAAACCCCAGGGAAACACTCACTGAAGACCATGAGCGTCACGGCCCCGATGAGCATGATGAGCGTCTGCAGAGCGTCCGTGTATATCACAGCGGCCAGGCCACCTGCGAGCAGAGGAGCAGCAAACTGGGGGAACTGGGCTTGTTCTCCCGCAGCATCTCGCGCTTTGCAGAAGGTTTTGAGCAGCAGCGTACGCCGAGCCCCGTGCCCGGTGGGCTGGCGTGTGCCGGCCGTGCTGGGGGCCGTTCGGCCACCTCCCATGCACGACACTTGGGCTGAAATTTCTCATCTTTTGAATCGTGAGTCACCATTTTGTCACTAAAAAGCCAAAGTTCACTATAAGTACTTCTATGGGAAATACATGGAAAAGCTCCCGAACAAAGCCCAAGCTGCATAAGGAGGAGAAGGAAAAAAAAAAAAAGGAGAGGGATCTTTATGAGCAACATCACCAGGGGTGAGCAGTGGGAAAGGAGCAAACTTTCCGTGCTGGGGATTTGCCGCCTGCTCATGGCTTTTGTCCATTTGGCCACTTAGGAGCCCTGAAAGGGCACCCAAGGCATTACACGGCTGTTGTCATGCAAATCGCTCCTACCTCCAGCAAGCCCAGAGGAAAAAGGCATTGTGCAAATGCCCCCAGCTTAGCTTCTCTTAAAGCAGAACTGACTCCCATCCTTATCTGGTACAGCCTCCTAAGGGGCATTCATTGACTCTTACCTGGGAATCTTTTTCTCAATAAGTGAGCTGTAAATAGCTTCCCCCCCCCATTATCCATGCTCATGGCAAAAGCCGGTTGTACGGGAACGCAGGACTCCTCTCAGGAGGATGCTTGGTGACCAAGCCGGACCCGCAATATCATCTGAACTCAGCCACGTACCCGCCACGGTGTAGACGGCGGTGATGGCCAGTAAGCCCACCACCGCGATGTAGAGGTCCCAGTGCAGGGCTTGCTGGATGAAGAGGGCCCCCGCGTACATGTCCACCTGGAGAAAAAAAATAGTTGTCACGGCTGCTGGGATGATATCACTGAGCCCCCCGAAGCTGGCCGTGCCGGGAAGCGCGAATATGCAGCTGACCCAGCTGCCCCTTTAGTGGGACCAGTCTGGTTTAACTGCTGGTGACCCCCCAGCTCCTGCAGCATCCTCTCCACGTGGCACGTCCCGCTGCAGCCTCCTGTTCAGCGTTTGGACAGTTTATTATCGCTGGTCAAGGGGTGGACCAGGGAGGGTGATGGTGGAGCCGTCCCGAGAGAGGGGGAGCGTGCACGGCGCTCCCTGCAAAAGGCATTTGGGCAATGGGCAGGGGGTTGAGTCTTCCCCAGGGCACCAGGAGCTGGGGGGGAGCTGTGTTGGCCGGGGGAGCCGGAGCGCCTGCCGTGCAAACCCCACGGGTGCCTCATGCTGCCAGCCCCAGCACCAGTTTGCCATCGTGGGAATTCCCCCTGCGGACACGGTGACAGTGCAATGACAAGGAAGCGCGTCCGCGGGGCGGGGGCCAGCCCTGACCGACCAGCTCTGCAGCTCCATGGCAGCGCTGCAGCTTCAGGGTAGCAAACTGCCGAGCGTGGGGTGACGGACGGCTGTGGACCACCCGAACGCTCCCTTCTCTCTCGGGAATTGTGTTATCAGAGCTTTGCATCAAATGGTTGGTTTTTCCTACAGAGAACCTGAACCCCGAGAGCAGCATCCTCTCACGAGGGGACCAGCGGGGCGGGTGTCACACAGCTTCGGCCCCGTACGAACAGGAAAAACACCGGCAGGGGCTGGGCTGGTGTCAGAGGTGGATGCACGGCTGCACGGTTAACAAACAGCCAGCGAGGTGTTGTGCAAGGGTTGATCCGGTGATTTATTCAGGGCACTACATCAGACGGGTGCAGTGACTCACTAAACCCTTTTCACCTAAGCACACACCAGCTTCCACCTCCGTGTTCATCCTGCACATACCAGCCTTTGGTGTCTGCACGGGCGAGAAATATGCAAAGGGAAGAAACAGGGGAAGCTGCCAGATGTACAAAACCTGACAACAAATGCATCCACGCTCACAGCGTCTCAATGAGCTATTGTTCAGGACATTGGCACCGAGCTTTCAGATCCTTCATGCGAAGAAAAAGAAGTTATTCTTTTAGTGTAGGTTCTCAAAACAACCCTATTCCGGTAACACACCTTTCCTGCCCGTACAGGGGAGGGCCAGCACTTGCATTTCCAAAGTGAATTCAGTTCAGTCTGTTTCCCTGCTTTTTTTCTACTTACTGATATTTTGGTGAAGATATAGATGAACAAGTAGAGAATCGCCAGGAACATCTGAATCCTTCTGCCCCCAAAGCGTTTGCGCAGGTACTCGGGCATGGTGGTGACCTGGGCGAGAGACGGGAGTCAGTGGGCAGCCGCTGCTCTGCTGCCGAGGGCTCACCCCGGAGCGGGCGGGGGGCTTGTGCTGGACCAGCCCAGCCCCATGAGATGCCCTGTGCTGGTGCTGGGTTCCCAGCTGCCTATTTAGGCAACAGCTCAGCAAGCACTGACTCTGCTGTGATGTCTGGCTAGTGAGACAGACATTTATAGTGATTTATAGTGACATTATAGATAGATTGATCACATTTATAAACTGGGATATGAGAGCCTCCATCTGTCCCCTTTGGGAGATGGAGCAGCTCTGCCGCATCACCGGGGTAGGGGACTGCTCTGTCCTCCTCGCCCATGCCCTCGGTGCTGTTCCCAGCAGAGCTCCCACCGCCTTTAGCCCAGGCCACCGGCACAGCCGGGTGCACCGTGGCACAGGCTCTGCCTTCCCGGAGCAGCACGGGTGCAGCTGGGGATGGAGAAGCCCAGGAGCCAAAGAGGTGATTGAAATACCAGCAAATTATTAAAGGCTATGACATCCCATCCACTTACCCCTGCCGCTATGTAAATGGGGAGGAACAGCCAGGCCAGCACCAGAACACAGAACATCCCCTAAAGCAAACGGAGAGGAAGGTCGGAGACGCTGGTCGAGGCTGCGGCTGGGTGTCAGTGGGGACACGGGGACTGGGTTATCCCTCGGGGCACTCAAGCCCCCAGCAGCCGGCGGTGATTCTGGCTCCTGCAGCAGGAGCCTGAGCCTTCGGAGCTGCCAGACCTCCGGCCACGCGTGGTGGCTCGTGGTGCTGGAGCTGCCCT